AGTTCCAGCAAGAAACAGATTGGTCCTCGTCATTCCAGTGGCCTGTACCTGGGGGGGGTAAGTGTAAACACTGGCCTGGGCAGAGGACCAGTGATGGTTGGGAGAAGGGGTTGTAATCAGGGGCGGACTGACCATTTGGAAAATTGGGCACTGCCCGAGGGCCCGGGGTCAGTAGGGGCCGCATGAGATGCCCCTGGTACCTTTTTCATAGGCTTTTTTGAGTTTGGGCAAGGACACAGGGGCCCCATGATCCCCTATTGAGGGCCGGGATCAGTAGGGGGCTCCATGAGATGCCCCTGGTACCTTTTTCATAGGCTTTTTTGAGTTTGGGCAAGGACACAGGGGCCCCATGATCCCCTATTGCCCGGGGGCCCCATGAGTTGTCAGTCCGCCCCTGGTTGTAATGTATTTGTGTGGTCACCTTGCCAAAGCCTTATCACCATGGAGTGAGAGCCAAAGCACAGGGCATGTTTCCAACCCTCCAGCTGGAAGTATTCATGTAGGTCCCCTAGTGCAGGTACTGGCTTGTCAACTGCCACTAGGAGCACTGCATACGTGTTCTAGAAAGTATTAAGAACCAACATGACAGCAAGGATGAGCTCAGCAATGGCAACCCCCCATATTTTCCTACTGACATGAAAACATGTCCAATGTACAGTATGGTGAAAGTAGTGGGAAAGTACATGGATGGTTTGGCAGGCCTCAGGGACATCATGGCGCTAAACACAACATCCATGACTGACACTCTGCAAGGTAAACATAAGAATAGACTTTCTTGCTGGCACTTTTCTTGGGTTCAGGCTCTGGGCCACCTCAGAATTGTTCAGAATTTAGCCGAAGGGACAGAAAATACCAAAGAAGCAGAAGACACCATCATAGATGTATTGATTCTTATCAGACTTTAATCAAATTGTGAGTGAGTGGAACAATCTGATCTGTTCTTCTCAGATGAGACATGACACGTCGGGTATACTGCCAACCCCGAGCAAAGTGTCAGTGAGTATAGACAGCATTCAGCACAAAAATGACTCGGTGGTACAATGGTAATACACAGCAAACCAGGACAGAGAGGAACCCCCACCCAGCCCCTCACCCCAGCCTATGGCACCACTGAGGAGGTTAAATGTTATCGTTATGGAGGAACCTTGAGACAACGAAAATAAAATGAGAGAATTTAGACAAATTTTGTAGAATTCTGATGTCATCATCATCTCCAAGCTCTCAGATATGACCTGACAGTCTGTTCTTGGACCTAGAATTCCTCCTTAATGATGTCATACAATGCCCAGGTTTCAGTCACTGCACCGCCTTCTTCTCACAGATGTAGCGGTAAGTGCGGGTACAATGCTCATCGTTCCAGTCACCGTTGTAATTGAACTGAACGCAGTCCTCGCCACCACCAAGACCATGACCAAAAAACTCATCTGGCTGGCCAGGGGCCCACTTCCTGCAATGACACAAGACAGAAATTTATAACAGCAGATGAGTGCAGCGTTGGGTTGTCACAGATTGCTGGGCAATTACAGTCAACATGCCTGACCATTTAAAGGATGAGCTATCTCTGGATACCCTACACCAGGATCCCCATAGTGATGAAGTCACAATCTAGTTACGATTCCTCTTCTTCCTAGAGCCAGCCTCCACTTTTCCTGTGTCCTCTGGAATGTCCGCTCTGTCTGTAACAATCTCACCTCTGTCCATGACCTTCTTATCACAAACTCCTTTAACTTGCTTGCAATTACGGAAACCTGACTTCATGAATCGGACTTTCCCTCTCCTGCTGCCCTCTCCCATGGTGGTCTCCTCTGGACTCTCCCAGGACTAGCGGAGGGAAAGGAGGTGGAGTAGGAATCCTCCTATCCCCTCAAAGCACTTTTCGGGTCCTCCATTCACCTCCCTCTCCTCATTTGAAGTTCACTCTATTCATCTGTTCTCTCCAGTTTCTTTAAGAATTGCTGTGATCTGTCATCCTCCTGGACCGGTATCAAGCTTCCTTGATGACTTCTCTGCCTGGCTGTCTTACTTTCTCTCTTCTGAAATTCCCGCAATCATTCTCAGAGACTTCAGCATCTCTGTTAATTGTAACACTCCTGCTACCTCTAAACTTCTGAGCATAACCACTTCTTTTAACCTAAAACAATGGGCGCATGCTTCTACTCACTCCAATGGTAACGGCCTCCACCTTGTATTCTCCTACCTATGCACTCCTTGCAACCTCACCAACTTTCCTCTTCCTCTCTCTGATCACTCCATTATTAGCTTCACTCTCTCCTTGGCTTCCTCCTCCTTGTCTTCCAACTACCAAACAGTTACCCATAGAAACCTTCGCTATCTTAACCCTTCTCTTCTTTTTTTCTGCAACAGATTGTCTCTATGACAAAATCTCAGCCCTGTCCTGCCCCAACCTGGCCACTTCTGTCTACAATAGTTCACCGTCATCCACCGTGGACACATTGGCCCCCCTCACTACACACAGAATTAGGCCCCGACCCCTACAGCCCTGGCAAACAGACAATACCAGATGCCTCAGAAAACGTAGCCGTGCTCTGGAGCGTTTATGGCATAAGACTAGGACCCAGCAAGACTACGACCAACATATATCTGCCCTTCAATGTACAATTCTTGTCTCCACACTGCCAAACAGACCTATTTTATCCCTCTCATTAACACCCTCTCAAGCAATCCCCGTCAACTCTTTTCTACTTTTAACTCTCTACTTCGTCCTTCTCTACCTCCACCCACTAACTCACTGCCCAGAAGATCGCTAATCACTTAAAAAATAAGATTGATACAATTTGTGATGAGATCTCCACTGTAAAGATATCTCCCTCACCCTACACTCCTTGTCCACCAGACATCTCCCTCACCTACACTCCTTGTCCACCAGACATCTCCCTCACCCTGCGCTCCTTGTCCACCAGACATCTCCCACACCCTACACCCCTTGTCCACCAGACATCTCCCTCACCCTGCACCCCTTGTCCACCAGACATCTCCCTCACCCTACACCCCTTGTCCACCAGACATCTCCCTCACCCTGCACTCCTTGTCCACCAGACATCTCCCTCACCCTGCACCCCTTGTCCACCAGACATCTCCCTCACCCTGCACCCCTTGTCCACCAGACATCTCCCTCACCCTGCACCCCTTGTCCACCAGAACATCTCCCTCACCCTGCACTCCTTGTCCACCAGACATCTCCCTCACCCTGCACTCCTTGTCCACCAGACATCTCCCTCACCCTGCACTCCTTGTCCACCAGACATCTCCCTCACCCTACACTCCTTGTCCACCAGACATCTCCCTCACCCTACACTCCTTGTCCACCAGACATCTCCCTCACCCTACACCCCTTGTCCACCAGACATCTCCCTCACCCTGCACCCCTTATCCACCAGACATCTCCCTCACCCTACACCCCTTGTCCACCAGACATCTCCCTCACCCTGCACCCCTTGTCCACCAGACATCTCCCTCACCCTGCACCCCTTGTCCACCAGACATCTCCCTCACCCTGCACCCCTTGTCCACCAGACATCTCCCTCACCCTGCACTCCTTGTCCACCAGACATCTCCCTCACCCTGCACTCCTTGTTCACCAGACATCTTCCTCACCCTGCACTCCTTGTCCACCAGACATCTCCCTCACCCTGCACTCCTTGTCCACCAGACATCTCCCTCACCCTACACTCCTTGTCCACCAGACATCTCCCTCACCCTACACTCCTTGTCCACCAGACATCTCCCTCACCCTACACTCCTTGTCCACCAGACATCTCCCTCACCCTACACTCCTTGTCCACCAGACATCTCCCTCACCCTACACTCCTTGTCCACCAGACATCTCGCTCACCCTACACTCCTTGTCCACCAGACATCTCCCTCACCCTACACTCCTTGTCCACCAGACATCTCCCTCACCCTACACTCCTTGTCCACCAGACATCTCCCTCACCCTACACTCCTTGTCCACCAGACATCTCCCTCACCCTACACTCCTTGTCCACCTGCACAATCTATACTTCCCTTGTGTAATCCAGCTACTATAGAGGAGGTTGGCAAACTGTTTTCTAAAGCCCACCTAACCACCTGTCCCCTTGGACCCTGTTCCCTTGCAAATACTCTGGTCACCCTCTGGCTCTATCCTTCATTCCTTAACCCATATCTTCAATCTCTCCCTTTCTACTGGCATCTTCCCCAACTCTCTAAAACATGCGCTAGTCACCCCCATGCTTAAAAAAGCCTCACTGGACCCCGCCAGTCTTGGCAACCCAAGACCCATCCCCTTACTCCCTTTTGCCTCCAAACTCCTTGAATGTCTATTATACAGCCGGCTGAGCTGCCATATTATTGAGAATAACCTTCTCGATCCCCTTCAGTCTGGTTTCTCCCACAACACTCCACAGAAACTGCTCTCCTAAAACTCACAAAAACGACATACTAACCACTAAAACCAATGGTTACTATTCCATACTCTTACTCGTGGACCTTTCTGCTGCCTTTGACACAGTTGACCACCCCCCTCCTCAAAAAACTCTATTTACTTGGTCTCCATGACTGTACTCTCCGTTGGTTCAATTCTTACCTATCTCACCGCACCTTCAGTGTCACTTCCAACTCTACTTCCTCCTCACCTACTCCTCTTACTGTTGGGGTCCCCCAAGGTTCTGTCCTTGGACCTCTCCTACTCCTCTTACTGTCGGGGTCCCCCCAAGGTTCTGTCCTTGGACCTCTCCTCCTCCTCTTACTGTTGGGGTCCCCCAAAGTTCTGTCCTTGGACCTCTCCTACTCCTCTTACTGTCGGGGTCCCCCAAGGTTCTGTCCTTGGACTTCTCCTATTCTCCATCTACACTTCTTCCTTGGGTCAGCTGATAGCTTCCCATGGTTTCCAATACCATTCCTATGCTGATGACACACAAATCTATCTCTCTACTCCTGAGCTCACCTCATCAGTTTCCTCACATATCACCGATTTACTAACAGACATATCAGATTGGATGTCACTCCACTTCCTAAAACCCAATCTATCCAAAACTGAGCTCATAATATTTCCTCCCCCACGTGCCTCTTCCCCTAATATCTCAGTCAGGATCAATAGCACCACTATCAACCCATCCCTGCATGCCAGGGTGCGAGGGGGAACCATGGATTCTGAAATATCCTTTCAGGCCCACATCCAATCCATGTCCAAGTCATTCTGCCTCGACCTCCCAACATCTCCAGAATACACCCCTTCCTGACCAATCACACCGCAAAGTTACTAATTCACTCCCTGGTCATCTCCCACCTCAACTACTGCAACTCCCTCCTCATTGGATGACCTTTACATAGGCCATCCCCCCTCCAGTCCATCATGAATACTGCTTCCAGGGTCATCCACCTTATACCAACCAATCACTGTCCTCCACCCCTCTCTACCAATCCCTCCACTGGCCTCCATTCAGTGTCCTCCACCCCTCTCTGCCAATCCCACCACTGGCCTCTATTCCGTGTCCTCCACCCCTCTCTGCCAATCCCTCCACTGGCCTCCATTCAGTGTCCTCCACCCCTCTCTGCCAATCCCTCCACTGGCCTCCATTCAGTGTCCTCCACCCCTCTCTGCCAATCCCTCCAGTGGCCTCCATTCAGTGTCCTCCACCCCTCTCTGCCAATCCCTCCACTGGCCTCTATTCAGTGTCCTCCACCCCTCTCTGCCAATCCCTCCACTGGCCTCCATTCAGTGACCTCCACCCCTCTATGCCAATCCCTCCACTGGCCTCCATTCAGTAACCTCCACCCCTCTATGCCAATCCCTCCACTGGCCCCCATCCCTCTCTGCCAATCCCTCCACTGGCTTCCACTCAGTGTCCTCCACCCCTCTCTGCCAATCCCTCCACTGGCCTCCATTTAGTGTCCTCCACACCTCTCTGCCAATCCCTCCACTGGCCTCCATTCAGTGTCCTCCACACCTCTCTGCCAATCCCTCCACTGGCTTCCACTCGCCCAACGAATAAAATTCAATATACTAACAACAACTTACAAAGCTACATCACTAACCTAATATCAAAATATCAACCAAACCGCTCTCTTCGATCCTCCCAAGACCTTCTGCTCTCTAGTTCCCATGTCACCTCCTCCCATGCTCGCCTACAGGACTTTTCCCAAGCTTCTCCTATCCTATGGAACTCCCTACCCCAATCTGTCCAACTATCTCCTAATCTATCCACCTTTAGATGGTCCCTGAAAAGTGTTCTCTTTAAAGACGCCTATCCTCCTTCTACCTAGTAAACTGCCAATTATTTCCTCCATCAGCTTATCCCCCACAGCTATTTCCTTTGTATCACTCGACCCTTCCTCCTAGATTGTAAGCTCTAACGAGCCGGGCCCTCTGCTTCCTCTTGTACCAAATTGTATTGTAACGGTCATGTCTACCTTCATATTGTAAAGCTCTGCGCACACTGTTGGCGCCATATAAATCCTGTATAATAATAATGAAGTGTGTGAGCTGTCAGTCTAAAAACAATGCAGGAGTCCCATAACCCTTGGAATTGCCACTTCCTCTAAGTGTCCCACAATCCTTGGAATGGCCTCGTCCCCCATGAGTCCTACAACCCTTGGAATGGCCTCGTCCCCCATGAGTCCTACAACCCTTGGAATGGCCTCTTCCCCTACAAGTCCCACAACCTTTGGAATGGCCTCATCCCCTACAAGTCCCACAACCTTTGGAATGGCCTCATCCCCTACAAGTCCCACAACCTTTGGAATGGCCTTATCCCCTAAGAATCCCACAACCCTTGGAATGGCCTCTTCCTTTAATAGACCTACAATCCTTGGAATGGCCTGGTTCCCTACCAGTCTCACAACTCTTGGAATGGCCTTGTCCCCTACTAGTCCCACTACCCTTGGCATGGCCTGTTCCCCTAAGTGTCCCACAACCCTTGGCATGGCCTGTTCCCCTAAGTGTCCCACAACCCTTGGCATGGCCTGTTCCCCTAAGTGTCCCACAACCCTTGGCATGGCCTGTTCCCCTAAGTGTCCCACAACCCTTGGCATGGCCTGTTCCCCTAAGTGTCCCACAACTCTTGGCATGGCCTGTTCTCCTAAGTGTCCCACAACCCTTGGCATGGCCTGTTCCCCTAAGAGTCCCACAACTCTTGGCATGGCCTCTTCCCCTAGGTGTCACACAACCCTTGCAATGGCCTCTCCTCTATGTGTCCCACAACCCTTTGATAGGCCTCATCCCCTAAGAGTCCCACAACCCTTGGAATGTCCTCATACCCCAAGAGTCCCTGTAAAGCAACTTGGCATTTTCAGGAGTGGTGGCCCAGGCCTAGTGGGACCAATGCTGCATCCCCCTAAATAAATATAAATAGGGAAAAAAAGAAAAAAAGCCATACTTCTCTTTTAAACCAGACACAACTCAAGGAACCCCTAGCGACTTCTGGAGGAACCCTAGAGTTGCATGGAACCATGGTTGGGAATGGATGCCCTATACCATTCTCTGCACACCAAAAACCTTCCAGCTAGAAAGCCCATTTTTAATGTTCTAACTTGTCTCTAAGAAACCACTAAGCACACCGCTTGAACATAGCAACCAATCTGATGGCTTGAGGAACACGAGGAACAACTCTCTCAATGGAGAAGACAATTATTACAGGGCTTATTATACTATTAATATAAAATTTGTAAAATGAAGGACGTTGTGTGATGAGAAAAGAGACATAATTCCAGAAAAGGTATAATATGCGATATAGAGGAACGGGGAAATCCAGAACTGAGGAAGAAGGAGGTGCAGTCAACTCATCTCATGGTTGGTTCACAATCATTATTCCACCAGTGAAGATTTTCTGAAACTCATGAAATTTGTCCTGACTAAAGGTGAAGGGAAGGAAATCTGTACAATTCAATTTCTCTGCCACAGAAAATATAGATGTTGGAAAATTCAACAAGGACATTACTTTGGTGTAGAGGAAAATAGAGTCCCATCCACCCATTTCCACTCCCCGTCAGTTTCACTCAGGCCAATCCAGACCCGTGTCTTCATGGCAAACTGTGTCAGGAAAACCTGAAGAACACAAAATGAAGAGAAGTGAGAATTACCATGAAGAGAAGGAGATCAAAGTTTGGTTCCAGATCAGTGGTGGACACATTGGTATAATGGACATGTGGGTACATTTACTTTTATCCTGATGGAAATGTATTGCTGGCCAGATTTTCTGGCCTTCCTCCAGAGGTGCCAATGTGAGAGCTGCATCTAGTGAAGGAATGACCGCCAATGCCATGTCACATACTGCTGCTTTATGTAAGGGAGACCTGAATACTTGAGATGTCTTGATCACCACAGAGGCTTGCCTCAAGGACACATCCAGACCACCACATGGACTTTTCTCAAAGACCCATTCAGACCATCACATGTGTTAATCTCCAGGAACCAATCCAGACCACCTTATCTCAAGGACTCATCCCAACCACCTCAAGGACTTATTTCCAGGACCCATACAGACCACCACATGGACTTTTACAAATGTCCCATGGACTATTTGCACGAAGAGCACCTCAGAGGACTCATCCAGACCTCTACATGGGTATCTCCAGGACCAATTCAGACCACATCAGGGACTCATCCAGACAACAACATGGGGATATCTCCAAGACCCATTAAGAGTGTCACATGGGCTTATCTCAAGGACCCATCTAGACTACCTCAAGGACTCACCCAGTCCACCACATGGGCATATCTCCAGGACCTATCAAGACCACTACATAACTTTTCTAAATGAGCTATCCAGACCACCTCAAGGACTTATCTTCAGGACCTATTCAGACCACCACAAGGACTTTAATAAATGTCCCATCTAGACCACTTCAAGGACTCATCTAGACCACTACATATCTCCAGGCTCTAATAGGACAATGACATGGGCTTATCTCAAGGACCCATCTAAATCACCTCAAGGACTCATCCAGACCACCATATGGGCATATCTCCAGAAACCATCCAGTCCACCACATGGTATCTCCAGGACCCATCCAGACCACCACACAGACTTTTCTAAAGGACTCAACCAGACTACCTCAAGTTTCTATTTCCAGGGCCCATACAGACCACCAAAGACTTTTTGCAAGAACCCACCCAGACCACCTCGAAAGACTTATCCAGACCGCCACATGGGTATCTCCAGGACCAAATTCAGACCACCACATTCACTTTTCTAAATGATATATTCAGGCCACATCAGGGACATATCCAGACTGACAATGACATGGGCTTATCTAAAGAGCCCATCTAGATCACCTCAAAGACCAGATCACCATGTGGGCATATCTTCAGGACCCATCCAGACCACCGCATGGTATTTCCAGGACCCATCCAGACCACCACATAGACTTTTCTGAAGGACCCATCCAGACTACCTAAAGCATCTATCTCCAAAACCCATCCAGACCACCACAGACTTTTTTCAAGGACCCATCCAGACCACCCCAAAGAGATCGAAGGCTGTGTGCAGGAGCTGTTCCTCCTATTGTCTCTCCAAATGGTCCTCTACTCCTTCTCACATTGATGATCATTCATTACAGTTGCCTTTCAAGCTCTGCCACTCTGTGTTTCCATTCACCTAATATGTACCTTTTTCCTCATTCTGCCCCAAACCTCCCCTGCTTCCTCAGCCACCTATGTGCCACTACTCACCTGCACACACCCTCAGCCACCTATGTGCCACTACTCACCTGCACACACCCTCAGCCACCTATGTGCCACTACTCACCTGCACACAGCCTCAGCCACCTATGTGCCACTACTCACCTGCACACACCCTCAGCCACCTATGTGCCACTACTCACCTGCACACAGCTTCAGCCACCTATGTGCCCCTGCTCACCTGCACACACCCTCAGCCACCTATGTGGCATCACTCACCTACACACCCTCAGCCACCTATGTGGTTCCGCTCACCTGCACACACCCTCAGCCACCTATGTGCCACTACTCACCTGCACACAGCTTCAGCCACCTATGTGCCCCTGCTCACCTGCACACACCCTCAGCCACCTATGTGGCATCACTCACCTACACACCCTCAGCCACCTATGTGGTTCCGCTCACCTGCACACACCCTCAGCCACCTATGTGGCATCACTCACCTGCACACAGCCTCAGCCCTATATGTGCCACCACTCACCTGCACACAGCCTCAGCCCCATATGTGCCACCGCTCACCTGCACACAGCCTCAGCCCCCCCATGCGGCTCTGCTCACCTGCACACAGCCTCAGCCCCCCATGCGGCTCCGCTCACCTGCACACAGCCTCAGCCCCCTATGCGGCTCCGCTCACCTGCACACAGCCTCAGCCCCCTATGTGCCACCGCTCACCTGCACACAGCCTCAGCCCCCCATGCGGCTCCGCTCACCTGCACACAGCCTCAGCCCCCTATGTGGCTCCTCTCACCTGCACACACCCTCAGCCCCCTATGTGGCTCCTCTCACCTGCACACAGCCTCAGCCCCCTATGTGGCTCCGCTCACCTGCACACAGCCTCAGCCCCCTATGTGGCTCCTCTCACCTGCACACACCCTCAGCCCCCTATGTGGCTCCTCTCACCTGCACACAGCCTCAGCCTCCTATGTGGCTCCGCTCACCTGCACACAGCCTCAGCCCCCTATGTGGCTCCGCTCACCTGCACACAGCCTCAGCCCCCTATGTGGCTCCTCTCACCTGCACACACCCTCAGCCCCCTATGTGGCTCCTCTCACCTGCACACAGCCTCAGCCTCCTATGTGGCTCCGCTCACCTGCACACAGCCTCATGTGATGTAG